CGCTGGCGGCGCTAGCGTCTATAGGCTCGGTGATTTCTGGGCTCCGCAGAGCTGAACTCTGACCCCTTCAAAGCGCGTGCGATTACGGCACTGGCATCGCTTGGGTGCAGAGCCAACAGTGAACAGCTGGTTGGTTCCTGAGCCTGACCTCCACGAGGACACGAGCCAAGACGGGAGAGGGAGGGTGCGAACAGAGGTGCTGCTAATTCGAGTTCGAGATGACGGCAAGCTGCTGCATTCGCTCCTCGGCAAGCCTGCCTCAGGTCGTGTGTCTGGCGCGTCCGGCCCTTGCCCGCTTACATTCACGTCAAATGCGCACGCAATGGCATACTCTGCGCGCATTTCAGGCTTCCTTCTGCCTGCGGGTTGTCCAAAGATTCGCTTGCTCCCGTGTAGTTCCCAGCATGATCGCGGCAGACAAGCCCTTTGCAACAATCGATTCTCAGTTGGAGGCGACAAGGAGCTCGGATCTCAGCCGACAGCATTTCACCCCAGGCAGCATCGAAAAATCGAGAATCCAGGGGTGCCGACGCGGCCCCCTAAAAAAAGCGCGTTGCAGGTCAACGCGGTGGCTGTCCCTCTCGGCTGCGGCCACCTGGCACCCTTAGAACGCCGTCCGGTGGTATGCTCGCTCGCCCAAGACCGAACCAGCCTTCTTCGCAACGATCGGCGACTCAAGCCAGGCCATTCGGACCGCTTGGCATCGACAAGGTCGCCTCAGACGCCAATTCCATACGGCCACCGACGTCAGCGGCAGCCCACTCACGTGTCAAAGCGGCGTGAACCAGGCACGGCCAAGCTCTCCTGAAATATCGCATGCACACATCTATGTGCAAAGACTTTGAGGCCGTCACCCTGCAGCCCTGTTGGTTTCACATTCGGTCCCCTCGAGAGCAGCGGTTGGTTGCAGCGCACTCCCATCGGTCGATTCCTGCACCCAACCCGATTGCTCCAGGTCTTGCCCGTGATCGTCAGACGCTGCCGATCGGAAGCAATGGTAGCGTCGCGAGGAAATTCTTTGAGTTTGTTACGCTCGCGTCTCGAACAACGAGGCAAGGCCCACTGGAATTCTTTCGTGCGAAATGGACGACGATCACACATGCGCTGGCGAGCCTTCGCGTCGGCGGCTCGGGGCTGCGCAGGGTCGGTCTGCCCTGCACGCTTCGGTCGAGTCGAGTCGAGCCGAACTGACTGACTCGTCGCGCGCGCGCACCGGTGGCTGAGCAGAACCCTTCCGCACGTCCGCACTCTACGCCCTCCCTCGACACCATCATCCGTTTCTGCACCCACTTCCATCCGCAGCAGCTCAAGTCTCTTTCAGCATTAACCCATCACACGAACACACCCTTCTTCTTCAAGCCAACGCACATCTCTATACAAAATGGTCAGCATGCCACAACTCCCAGCTCCATCCACTCGCCGTTGCGAGCCGGGGTGGCCTCGCATCGCGATCCTCGCCAACTCGCACATTGCCTCCGCGCGCGTCTTCGCGTCCACGTCCGCATCCATTGCCGCCGCACCTGCACTCCAGGCCGAACCTGCTCCGCCCTGCGCTTACGAGCAGCCCGATCGGAACGCAGTCCGTTGACGCGTCATCCGCCACAGTCGCATCTTGAATAGTCGCCAGCTGCTACCATCGAGGCATGTCGCCGTGTCAACTGCTACTCGTTCGAGTTCAGATCGACCGCTCGTAGAAGGCTTCGCCAGCGCCGATGCATGTGCGTGTTTCCGCACCGCCCGTCAACTCCGAATTGCGGACACCGACGAGGGACTGGTGCGCGGCCAGGGGGACCACGAATCGATCTGCATGGTTGAAGTTCCCGCCGAACATCATGCCGCACAGATGCAAGGACAGACGGAGACGGCAATGTAGCGAATGCAGGCTTCGCGATGCTTGTGCCGCCCGGCAGCCTGACCAAGGAGACAGAAAGCTCGATTAGCTAGTGTCGATCGGCCAAAGTCAGCTTGCATATCTATGGTTGTGGCTCAGCATGCCTCCCAACACCATCCAGTCTCGCGTTGGACCAAGCCGCAGGAACATCGAATTCTGACCGAACTTGCTTCTCCGACTTCCACCTTTCCGCGACCTCCGCTTGCTGCCGCCCATGCTGCTGTTCCAACCTTGCCCCGACTTGGCTCTTTTGCGAATTTCGACTCCGCCGTCGCCACCGCCTCCGCCACCGCCATCGCGGTCTCTATCGCCGATGCCATCGCCCGGCTTGCCTCACCTCCACCTATGGCTTCTCCTCCGCTCTACCGTTCTGAACGATCGTGCACTTGCTCATCACTCGCGCTTCTTGCCATGCTTTGGCTTCTACACCGCATGCGCCCGTTGCTGCCGATCACGATGCTGCGTCGATCCGATGAACCATTCATGCGACTCTTGATCTGGCCTTTGCGACGATCATGCGATCCTCACAATGCCGCTCTCCGCATACTCTCGCCTGTGCCAATGCTTCGTGCTGCTGTCATCTCGACAGTCCATGAACATTGACAAGCGTGAGTATCGCCGAAGCCACGAGACACGCAGCGAGACGAAGAGCAGTCATTGCGGCTGCCAGGACGCGCTGCCGTAGGGGAACGAGCGCCAACAGCCGCCCAGGTGAAGGAGCTTGCCGATGTGCAACTCGCATCGAGCCGACCGCAGGTCCGCACAATGGTACACGCATGTAAAGATCTACGTCATCTTTGCGACTGCCACATGCCTTCACCGAAACTCGCCGTACAAGGGACTCCTCGTGGTAGCGAGGTGCAAGCGTCCCTGCAAATACGGCGATAGTGACACGCGCGCGTCTCATCTACGCTACTCTCTTCGGCTTGATCCGTCTCGCGTTCGACCTTGAACCGCAGCACTGCATGCTCACACTTCGAACTGCATCCCCCAACGCTGCTTGCGATCGACCGTCCCCCAAACGGTTCTTGCGGTCATATGCCTCGCACGCGTGCACGCATCTTCTTTTGCTTTTTCTTGTCTCTTGTACAGCCCTCGAGGAGATCATCGCCGCTCGCCCCAAGCGTGCCGGAGCCGGCCGTACCAGCCAGCGCGGACGCAAGGGTGGCCGTAGCGGCCGTCCCAGCGCCAAGGCTGCCGCCGTCGGTGCTGGTGCCCAGAATGCCGCGGTGATCGCCGCCTCCAACCGCAACAAGCCCCCCGTCGTTATCCCCGGCCGCAGCGCCAACACCGGCAGCAAGATCATCCTCAGCAATCTGCCTCTCGATGTCACCGAGGCACAAGTCAAGGTTTGTATGCAATCCCGCACACGGCCCAGGTTCGTACGCGATGCTGACTCCGCGTACATGTGTTGCGGTCGTGACCCGACAGGAACTCTTCTCCACCACTATCGGGCCTCTTCGCAAGGTGGCCATGAGCTACCGCGCCAACGGACAGTCGACGGGCGTCTGCACCGTCGAGTTCCAGCGCGCCGACGACGCAGGCCGCGCCTACACTCAGTACAACAACCGATTGATCGACGGCAGTAAGTAGCAGTCACTCTCGCATACAAATCTTGAGTTCCATCAGGCTCTCGTACAAGCATCGCGCTGATCCATCCGCCGTACTTCGCTTGACCGTCAACAGAGAAGCCCCTCAAGGTCGAAGTGGTCGTGGACCCCGCCAAGGTCGCTGCGGCGCCAGCAGCTGGTGCGCGCGGCGCCAAGGGTGCAGCGGGTGCCGCTGCCGCTGGAGCCAAGGGCCGAGGTGGCCGTGCTGCTGCCGGTGCTGCCAAGCGCGGCCGCGGTGGCCGTGGCAACGGCAGTGGCAGCGGCGCCAAGCGCGAGGCGCGCCCCAAGAAGACGGTTGAGGATCTCGACGCCGAGATGGAGGACTACAACAAGCAGGGCTCCACCGACGCTGCCCCTGCCGCCTAAAGCGTTATGCGCCGGACGCTGTCTCCGGGCTAGCGCCGCTGGTCAACTACGTCCGTTACAAATGCCTTCCGAATGATCACACCGCCACGATTCGTCACGAGCCTCTTTACCGCTACACACTGCCTGCTTCCAACGTCTGCCTTGCGTTTGGTCCGTCGCCGCTGACAGAAAGCCGCGAGAGACTTGAGAGACAGTCACGACTGAGGCCGGTTCGGACACGAGCTGATTCTGAGAGATGCAGCTGAGAAGGTTTGGCGACGCGTGCCGGTGAAATCGCGTTTCGACGCGTCGGATTTTTGGCAGACCAACACCTTGTCGGCTGAGTCGGGAAATGCGAAGGAAAAGAGCGATGTGGTGCCGCCCAAAGTCAGAGGAAGGGCTCGCGGAGCAATGTACGCGACACGCGACTTGCTCCACTTTTTCGCGGCGCGGTCGGCACGCATGCCTCTCTGCGGAGGTCCTTACTTCCAGCACACTATCCTCGCCTCTCTCCCTTACGCACAACCCTACAGCAAGCCTGCGACATCCAAGACCTCGCAGTCAATACGATCGGACAGTCTAGCAAACAAAGACGATCGAATTGTCTGGAGCACTCGAAACACGACTGGGAACCCTGGGTAGAAGCGCGCAGGATGCAATCCTCAGCCTCAACGACACAGGCAGTGCCGCCACAGCAGACGCCTCCGGACCTGTTCGCGGACGTGCAGTTTTGGATCAATGACGACGTCGATCAAACAACACACGACGAAGTGAGTACCGAGCCGCAGCCTGAGACTAGCCATTCTGGAATGCAGCTCTGACCCTCTTGACCCTCTCTGGCACCCTTATGGCTACGGCACAGATTCGCAAACTGCTCTTCCAAGGCGGTGCGCAAGAATACAACCCCAGCTCGACACCAAGCGGAAGCGCATCGGCGTCGACGCAGCTGCGCTTCGAGCTTGACGCGGTTACGCACGTCATTGCCAACTCGGTCGAGTTTGAAGAGTATCGACACTGCATCGAGCCAACGCTGCCCGAGTCCAGTCCTGATTCCAAGCGACCGCTCGTTGTGACTGTAAGTGGGACTTCAACGCTCTCATGCCCTACCCAATCTTGACAATCCGCAGAGAACTGACCCGCAAAGACCCCTCTTCTGCTTTGCCCTTGGTGCGTCGGCTGATCCGATCGATCGGATCGTAGCCCGACTGGGTGCGTCGCAGCGCGCATCTCAAGATCCGCCTCAAAGAGGACCGCTTCTCGTGCCGCGCCGAGATGATCTTCTCGGGCCTCTGCGTGACGGCGTCCAAGTCCGAGGTGTCCAAGGCGGACCGCGAGCTGATCAGCAGCATCGTCGCCGCCTACGGAGGGCTGTGGCGCGAAGACCACTTTTTCGACGTCAACGTGCTGCTCACCACATCCATCTCGAGCAACAAACTCGCGCGCATCCTCAACAGCCCGGGCAAACAGACCATCTGCGTGGCTCCGCAGTGGATCAGCGACTCGTGGCGCTTGCAGAAGCGGCTTCCGTTGGACTCGTACCAGTTTCTGCCTGGCCAGGCAAAGTTGCCGCCGTGCTTTGCGGGCAAGACCGCGAGCGGGTCGCCGCTCACTTCGCCTCGACGCGATCGCGTCGCCATGAGCCTGGTTGGTGAAAAAAGCCGCAGTTCGGCCAGTGCCGGCAGCGCGCGTGGCGTGTTTCGTGGCAAGAGCGTGCTGCTGGCACGCGATGTGTGCCGCGCGAGCGAGCAGCAGCTGCGGTCGCTCGAGCACTTTGTTCGCCACTCGGGCGGCACCATCCGACGTGCGCCAACGGATCTGGACGGCATCGCGCAGGCGGCGCGCAACTCGGACTACGTCGTGTGCCGCTACCGCGAGGTGCAGGAGTTCCGCGAAGCCATCCGCCAGTCCAAGCAGGTCGGCAACCTCACCTGGCTCATCTGGGTCGTCTCCAACGATCGGCTCAGCGACCCGCGCCAGGAGCCGCTGCACTTTCCCGTTCCGCGCACCCCGATCGCCGAGTTCCAGGGCGTCGCCATCACGATCTCCAACTACCGAGGCGCAACCAGGCAGTACCTCACCAAGATGGTCAAGCTCATGGGCGCCACCTTCTCAGGCACCCTCACGGCACAGACGAGCCTGTGCGTGGCGGCGAATTTGGCGAGCGAAAAGACCGAGCGCGCGAGGGATTGGGGCGTGCCCGTCGTGAACCACAAGTACATCGTCGATTCCTTCTTGGCCTGGGCGCCCGTCGAGAGGGCCAAGCTCAAGTACATAGATTTCCCAGACGGCGTGGATTACAACTTGGACGTCGGCGACACCAGGGTGACGGACGAAAGTCTTGGGCCGTGGATCGACGACGCCATCAGCAACAACGAGCCCGTCGACCTGCCCACAAGCGATCCAGCTGTACCTTCGCTGCACTATGCCGCCGACGAAACTTCGTCTGCGGAGACAGGGTCAGGAGGAGCGACGTCGGAGCCTCAACCCGCCTCGGACCAGACCACCGATGTTGCAGAGCCCGCAGACGCGACACACATCGAGCACACCTCGCCGCCGGCTACGCCGACGCGCCGCCACAGTCAAGGTGAAGCGAATGTTTCGTCGGAAGCCGATGCGACCGATGGCGCACACAGCGTGCCGGCCAGCCCATCTTCGCATCGCGGCACCAAACGTAGCCGTCTAACGGTGCTGGGCGAAAGCACCAAGCAGCCATCATGTGCGTCTGCCGAGTTGGCCTCCGCTGACGCGTCGGCGACCAAGAAGCTCAAGACCGCTGTTGTTTCCGCCGCCGAGGTGGAAGGGGAGGTGCGTGTGGCGACGAGCAACTACAAGCTCAAGAAGACCGACGAGACCAAGCTGCGCGCGGCGGGAGTTGTGGTGGTGGACTCGATCGAGCGCGCGCACGTGCTCGTGACACCCAAGCTGTCGCGCTCGCCCAAGATGCTCTACGCGATCGCGTCCGGTGCGGTAGCGATCGTGTCGCCCGACTGGCTGGGAGCGTGCATGAAGCAGCGCACCGCCGTGTCCACGGCCGACTACGCGCTGGTCGACCGCGAGGGCGAAAAGGCGTATGGCATCCAGCTTGCCGACGTGCTGGAGCGTCGCCAAAGCATTTTTGCGCAGGGCATCTACTGCGGGCACAAATTTTGGCTGGGTCGGGGTGTGGACGACACTGGCTCGCTCGCCTCTCTCATCGGAGCTGCGGGTGGAAAGTTGGGCCAAGGAAAGTGGGACGAAGAGGCACTGCGCGAGGACCCAGAGCACTGCCACTTGGTGGTGGAAGAGGACCACGCGGCGGAATGGCGCCCACTGGTCGGCACGAGTACTATCGACGGCGAGCCGCTGAAGTTGTTCAAGAAACAGCTGGTGACCGACTGCATCTTTGAGCAGCAGCCGCGCTGGGACCGCCACCTTGTCGACGGCCCGCCGGGTGCCAAGACGACGCCGAGCAAACGGGTGCGCACGCCGAAACGCATTTCGCGCTAGAATCGCATTCGATCACAACTACATCCGGCGGTATATCTGCAATGCATTGCTGTGAAGAAAGATTAGAGGTTTGCCTTGAGGAAGGTGCGGTAATCGTTGGTGGCAGTGACAAAGTGGTCCCCGATGTAGATGTCGAAATGGCCCATGCCGTCGTAGACCTTGACGGTGGCTTTCGGCGCTTTTTCGGCGTAGGAGAGGGTGGGCCCAGGCGGCGCTACGGAATCCTTGCCACAGACAGCAAAGAAGATCGGGCAGGTGACCAAGGCGGTCTTCCAGCCGGGGTTGTACAAGCCGATGGCGAGGGCGAAGCGCGCTGCGACGTAATCCGGCACGACATCCACCAAGTTTTCCGGGATGAGCTGGCGATACTGAAACACGTCTGGCGCATTCATGAGCGCAGCTAGAGCGGCAAAGCAGAGTCAATCGGAGGTGAGCCCACTCGAATCCGGGAAAAGCAGCAAGGATAAGACGGGGGGGACTTACTTTCTCCTGGCTTGCCGGCGAGTTGGACGCGAACGATGTCGTTGCCTCTTGAGAACAGCAGGTCGCGCAGACCGAGAACGCCGAGTTTGAGAAGGGGCAGGAGGCCCACAGTCTGGGATGAGTGCAAGCCCGAGGTGAAGGGGCACTGCGAGATGACCGCCTTGATCCTCTTGTCCTTGGCGGCGACACTGATCACATGGCCACCGCCGAAGCTGCTGCCAAAGATGCCGATCCTCTGGTTGTCTACGCTCTCGAGCTTCGAGGTGTAGTCGATCGCCGCGTTCCAATCCTGGAGCTGGAGGTTGATGTCGAGCAGCTGGCGGGGCTGGCCAGTGCTCTCGCCAAAGTTGCGGTAGTCAAAGACGACGCAGACAATGCCAAGGTCTGCGAAGCGGGAGGCAGTGCGATCGAGACCCATCTCCTTGATACCTCCGAGTCCATGGGCAAGGATCATCGCTGGGTACTTGTCGCCATGGCGCGATTCGCCAGATGCGGGGCGAAGCGGGGGAGCAGTGGGATGGTACACCCATGCTGCACACAGATCGTCGCCCGAGGCGATCTTGACGTCTTCGCGTCGAAAGGCAGAGGTCCTTGCTTCTGTCGACATTGTTCGAAGAAAGTAGTCCAAACGACAGCAGGTATAGAGGTTCGTGTGGGAGCGTATCGAAGGATGAGAAGTCGTATATATTGTCCATCCCGGCTAGGAAGAAGCTGCCGCCATGTGGAGGAAAGCAGGCCCTTCGAGCAGTTTGGCCGAGCTGTGTGAAAGGCGAGCGCCAATTTGGACACCGCCAAAGCCACAGTGCGGGGTTACCGCCAGAGTCACCACCGCATCGGTCACCACCACATCAGTCGCCACCGGATATCAAGTCACAGCGTGCCGTGATAACGACGCACGGTCTGCCCAAAGGCAAGGGATGCCAACGTGTGACTGTCAACGAGTGCGTAGCAAGACGGACGCACCGTTCTGCGACGGGCAAGGCGTCGGCACTTTATTTTCAAAGTCGGCCATGCCGGTCCCAGCCACGAAAGAGCGGATCGGCAACAGATGCGAGAGCCCGATAGCGACGGATCACCTTCCCATTGGCGGCCATCTCGTCACGCTGGACCTGGTCCATGTTGCCATGTTGCTACGGCCTCTGCCGTCTCCGACAATTGGCTCCGTGTCGCACAACCCACACGACGTGGCAGCCGGCTCAGACAGATTGAATGTCGGGGTGCATGGAAGCCTGTGCCCTGCATTCGATACGCGCACGGAGGCTCGGCGGAGAGAACCGCACACCCAGGAAAGTGCGAAGCGAGCGCGGATGCCAAGCTCTTCAACACCATGCTTTCGCCATGTGGCCATGCCCACGTCTCGGACGCCATCCCGTGCGGGGTAAGCGCGGGGTGAGCGCGGGGTAAGCTACAAGCTCGGTCGATGTCCAGACGTACGAGAAAGGCGTCGAGAAGACGTTTGATTCGGCCGGTCGAGTTGCTCGAGGCAACGGAAACGGCGGTGGGCTACATCGCATGGTCATGGGCAAGCATGCTGCACTACGACAACGAGGCTGATGGCATGATCTCTCGGGCGAGACAGGGCTTCGACCGGTGAATTCGGCAGGAAGTCGCGGCGAAGTCGCTCAATTTGTTGCTTTTATCGAGCAATGCCGCGGAGCTTTTCTGCATCCGCCACCCTCAGCCTCAGCCTCGTCCTCGAGCCAGTCATCCTATCAGCGCGGGCTCACCCCATCCATCTGATGCTCATCTCGCAGCGCCACACATCTCGGCGTGGGAATCGCGGGGCTCCACTTCCGTCTGTGCTGACAATGTTGCACTGTGCAGCTCGTCGCAGCGGCACGCCCAGGATCGTGTCGCGCAACGTCGAATAGTCGAATACCGCTCAACCGCCGAGGTTCCCCGCACGCGCCGTCGGCAAGCTTCGCGCGGAGATTCAACCTCGGCCCCACCACGGGACTCGACTCCCTCACCGACCGTCGGTTCCAACGGTCGCCCTGCCATCAGTACGCTCTTCGACCTTCGTACCTTCGCGCTAGACTGCTTTCCGCCTTTCTGGGTCGTGTGTTTCCTGCGCACGTCCCCTGCGATCAACAATCGATACCAACCAGATGGCACGCGAAGCTGAACCCCTTGAACTCGCTCGACGTGCGCGTTCGCCACGCCGAGTCGCTTCTCCAGCCGTGTGTACCCAAGAGAGGAAAAAAAACTTTGGGTCTCACTGGGTCTTCATAGCCGAGCCTTGCCCTTTTGATCCACTCTACACTTGCCTGCTCCGTCCACTGCGCACCCTCCGGCCGCACGCCAAGCAGCGTGCCTGGCAGATCGTCAGCTGGACAGCGCTAGTCTCGCAGGCCATGTGCCTCGATGGCTTATTTCCGTCGTATGCGTGCCTGGATGCATCCAGCCTGGGTCGTCCGGTGTGCCCCCTCCGTGTTCATCGATGCAATCGTGAGCTTCCCCACGTCCCCGTTCGTGCAGCCTCCCATCAGACCCCTCGCTCCTTTGCCAATGCCCAGTGTGTAGCACATACTGAGCGGCATTCATACTTAAAACTCTCAAGCCTCACCTCATCCTCGTCTCGTCATCGTCCCCCCACTCACCTTCTCCCCCACTCCTGCACCCTCTTCTCCTACCGCATTCTCTGCCACTGCGGCCACATTCATCATGAGGACGGGTCAGCTGAACCACCCCGACCCCCAGCACCCTTACAATCTGCCAACATGGCGCAAGCTGCTCATGCTCGCCACCGTCTCGCTCACCGCCTTTGCGGCTAACGAGATGGCCGCTGCCCATCTCACTGCGTTCCCCGAAGTCGCAGAGAGCTTCAAAGTCACCATCGCCGCCACCGCCAACACCATCGGCATCGGTATTCTCGGTCTCGGCACGGGTCCGCTGCTCTGGAACGCCATCTCCGAGTCCGTCGGTCGACGTCCCGCTTACCTCCTCGCTTGGACACTCTACATTCCATGCACCGTCTGGCTCGCAAGGGCAGGCAGTTTCAATAGCTTTGCGGCTGCCAGGTTCTGTGCTGGTTTCGCCGGCTCCGTCTCGCAGACCGTACCTGCCTCGCTCATCTCCGAGACTTTCATGCCTGAACACCGTGGTGCGGCTATTGCTGCCTGGACGGTGCTCCTCATCGCCGGACCCGTCACGGCACCCGTGATTGGTGCAGGCATCCTTACCAAGACTACCGACTGGCGCTGGGGTAAGTTGTTCCACCTTCTTTCGCTGGACGTGGGTGAAGTCACTGTTCTAACCTAGCTCATTCTTCTCCTCCGCTACAGTCTACTATCTGACGTTGATCCTGGCCGGTGCGCTCTGGGTCTGCATCCTCCTCTTCGTGCCCGAGACGCTGTACAGCCCCAACCGTTCGGCACCCACGGCCGCACACGATGCCCCGTCGCGCAACGACGATTTGGAGAAGAAGGACTCGCACTCGATCGAGCACGGCACTGCTACGCCCCCTCTCAGCGGCTCTGCCGGTGCGCTCGAGAGCGGCTCGCACGGCCGCATCGGCGCAGCATGGTATCCGTGGAAGGAGCCCGCGCGCTTCGTCGGCGAGATCGTCGCTCCGCTCAAGATGGCCATGTACCTCCCGGTCATCCTGCCCTCCATTGTCTACGCGGTCATCTTCATGTGGTCAGTCGGCTTCACCGTGGTGAGCCCACAGGTGTTCCCGCGTCCTCCTTGGCACTTCACAAACGTCCAGGTCGGTCTTGCCTTCCTTGCCGCCGCCGTCGGTGCGCTGATTGGCAAGTTCGCCGGTGGCTTCGTCAGTGACTCTACGGTCAACTTCTTTGTTCGACGCAACTCGGGCTCGATCGACGGCCCGCGTGTGCCCGAGTACCGTCTCTGGGCGCTGCTGCCGCAGGTACCGCTGCTCGTGATTGGCCTGCTGCTCTACGGAATCGGCTACCAGAAGAAGCTCGACTGGCCCGTCGAAGTCATTGGCGGTATCGGCGTCTACTACGTTGCCAACTCGGCGGCCGGCGGTATTCTGCAGACCTACATTATCGAAACGTACTTTACCAAGGCAGTGCACGGCATTGCGCTCTTCAACTTTGTCAAGTGCTGTCTGGCCTTCTCGGCGCCATTCTTTGTGCCAGAGTGGTCGTTCGAAGGCTTCACAAAGGCGTACGTCGTCCAGGCCGTCGTCACGGCAGCTGTCACCTTGGCCATGCTGGTGGTGCTCATCGCTTTCGGTGCGCGCATCCGCAAGGCCCAGAAGATGGTCTCCACCGCTTGATATTGCCACAACAGTTCTGTACAGATACCTCACGCTTTGACTTGTACCAATGGCGCCAATTTGGACATCGCGTCACCCACACCTCTGAAAAGCAGAAACGCGAGTTGCACCTTGCTTCTCTCACGCGGAAGCATGCCACACAGCTGATGAGTGAAGGAGAAGATGGTATGAGTACAATTTTTGGCATCGGGACAAGATACAAACAAAGGCAGGGCAGCGAGCCTGCGCGCGGTGTGCGATCATTGTGGGCGCGGCGGCATGCCGAAACTGAAATGGCGACAGAAGTGAGTAGAGGGAATTACAAGAAGCGGGGTCAGTTTCGAGACGCGCGTGACGTTTGGGCTGAGGACGGCGGTGCAGCTACTTACCCGGGAGGCGGGCGGGGCGGGAAGCCGCCTGGTGGGGCCACAGGGAAGCCGGGGGGCGGTCCGCCTGGCATGCCGGGGAAGCCGGGTGGGCGGAAGCCAGGCGGGGGGCCGACGGGCATGTTGCCGCCAGGCGCAGGCATGCCCGGAGGGCCGGGCATGGGGGGACGCGCGTAGGGCATTGGCCTGCCCATCATGGGTGGCGGTGCGCCTGCCATGGGCGGCACGGCCAAGCCCATCCCTCGTCCCATCGGCGCACCTTTGCCAGGACCGGGCTGCATCTGTTACGCGATGCAAATGCAGAGCGAGCCTCGTCAGTGTCTCGATACCTTCTATAGATGATGATGCAGATATACTTACTGTAGGTTGCATTCTGTCGTCTGCGGGCGGAGGTGCCTCGATGGCCATGCTCACGATGTGTTCGCCGCGGAGGATGAGCAGACCGAGTGTCCTCTTCTGCTCTAGGACAACATCTGCTGCGCCTGCCATTGCTGCATCGTCGTCCTCGTCATCTTCCGCAGCCGCCTTGCCCGCCTCGACCGCTGCAGCCGCGCGTGCCTTGGCCTTTCTGGACTTGATCTTGCGGTACTCTTGCGAGTCAGCGAGCACGAGGTTCATGTGAGCGTCGAACGCGAGCAGCTGGCCGACGATCTGGCGCGAGTCGTTGAGCGTGATACGCAGGCGGTAGTTGATGAGCGACATCATTTTACCGCCCTTGGGCTTTGTGGGAGGCATGGTGACGGTAGTATGCGCTTCGCAGATGGAAGCTGAGGTGTCGTGAGGAGGTTGAACTGGGCGCGGCGCGGCGTATCGGCTGCGAGTAATCCAAGTCGCAGTCGACCAAGGGAGGCTGGATGGCACTGCCTCTCGGTTGAATATGTGTAGATGCGCTGATTCGTGAAGCCTCGTCCAGGCTCGTTAGAACAAAGGTTCGCAGGGCGTGCGAGTTGGAGATATGGAGGAGGATTGCGAAGAGTGCGGATGTGAAGTTCAAGAGGCTCACTCTCGGAAAACGGCACGGATCTGCCAACGTCACGTGTAGCCCGCTTTTTTGAGCAAGCTCCACTAGCAAACAGGCTCTAACATCAATTAATTTGAAAACGCATGTGCGAGAAAAGAGCTCGAACATTGCTGACATTTTAGCTTCCCCGCGCCCTGCATACCGATCAACCCTCCTCGTCAGCATGCAGCTCGCTGGATGAGTAGATCCAGCAAAGTGCACTCTGGCGCTTCTCTCCCTTCTGTTCAACCTGGTCGCATTGAGCGAGGTTGTGCGGATGGGACGGACCGCCGTCAGAAGGTGGAAACGTTGTCAGGACGGGTGGAAGCGAGCAGGCCAGGCCAGGACGGACCGGGCATAAGTTCGGCTGAGCTTGCATGGGGTTTATGCCCGTCTGCCATGCGCATTTTGGAGCGTCGAATTGCGCGCCGGGGCAACGTCGAGAGAGAGCCAAGCCCGTCAACGGGCAGCAGACGATGGTGGGAACGGGGCGCTGACCCTCGATCGGAAAGGTCAACTTGGCGTCAACCTCGCTCGCGATTTCGCCCCGCCCAGCCAGCGACGCCCCGCCCGCTTTCCCGCCTCTGGCCAGGCCAACCCGGCTGAATCTCGACGGCGAGCACGCTGCAACGCATGAGCCGCCGTCCGGACCCACGGGCATTTCTCCGAGCTCGCTTGTCCTGCCCCAGCGTGTCGCCCCGACGCACATTCTCATGCGAGCCCGCTCTCTCGCGCAGCAAATACGTCCGAATCCCCGCATCAGCACCCCGGCATTGTTCGCAATTCTGTCCTGCCATTTCTTGTGCCCTGTGATTACGGCTCCCGCTTCAAAGTTGCGAGGAAAGGCGAGAGACGCAGGCACACGTCAACGACTCCCTCTTGTCTCGCCCAGCCGCCGATCGATGGGCGCCAGCGTCCTGCTCGCTCAGCTCGGCAGCATTCTGATCCCAATAGCACGCTTGGCCAGCTCGCTCTCGATGCTCACGCTCCGTTTGAGATCCAGACATAATCGCCGGGCGGCTTTTGCTTCACATTCTCCGCAGGTGCTGACCTCCCGGACGCGGCGTGAGTGCTTGTTCCGACCTCTCCATACGCACCTCCTTCTCTTCGTCGACCCACCATCTTTCCCAAGTTATCGCCCCCGCATTCTGTCGGCACTGTTTCGAGTAACTGTCTCTGTTTGCCTATCTGTGTCTGCGGCTGCATCTTGCTCTACACAGCGTGAAGCGATCGTCGCTCCAGCATGCCTCCGTTCCTCTCCACCTTCCGATCTCGGACCAACTCGCTGCTCGAGACCATCACCGGCGTCATCCCTGACTCGCCGCCCAACGGCACCTTCAAGGATCGCTCCCTCACCTGCCGCAAGTGCGGCAATCGCTTCCGTGATGCTCTTGAACTGAGCTCTCACTTCAACCTCCTCCCGCACCACTCGGACTACTCGGACAGCCACGACTATGCATCCTTCATCCGACCCAAAGCTAGACGCACCAAGATCGCCACAGCCCCTCTTGTCGATACCGCCGAGGCTGCGCCGGTCACAGCCGGCTTCAGCGAGGCAGAGGCATTCTACGCCGTGCAGGACAAAGAGAACAGGATCGATCGCCCTGCGCTCCTCCGCAAGTTCCCCACGCTTTCGAACCTGGCTACCGCTACGAGTGCCGAGCAACAAGCGATGCAGACGGGCACCGACTATGCGGACGGAGATGGTCCTCCGCAAAGTCCCAGCGCAAAGGCAAAGGGCAAGCAGAAGGCGTTTCCGCTACTGCGAAGGGAAGACTCTTATCCCTTCGGCCAGCCGCTTTACTCGTCAGACGAAGACGAGGATACAAAAGCACCGGGACCGTCCAATGCACCTCCGATCAGCTCTCTGCGATCGCGTGCACGAAGCGCGACTACTCAGGCCCTAATGCCCGAGCCTGCTCTTCCACCTCGTCCTCGCATCTCCACCTCGTCGTCTGTCGCATCCAAATCTACCACCTCGCGGCGTCAAGCGCCACCGCTGCCACCCAAGATCCCCGCTTTCGACTGGGATAACGACGATGCCGCCTCGATCCACTCGGACGCCAGCTTCCGTACGGCCGGCTCCACCGAGTATGCAGACGAGAAAGCTGCCTTCAAGAAGGACTCCAAATCAGGCTGGGGCACCTCGAAAGCAAGCGACCGCGATCATAGCGCGAATGCGAGTACGAGCGACATGAGGAGACACGATCTTCGTCCCGACAACATGCGTCACATTAGCGAGTCGGAGCTCCTGCTTCACAGCGCCGACGCTCCAGACTACGATGCGCCGCCATCCTACCACGAGCTGCACGGCGATACAGACCCTTTCGACGATCTGACTTCTCGAACCGGGTCTGCATCGCGCCCGCATGCGTCTCGACGAGCGCACTCGCGCCCAGAGGGTTTCGCTTCAATGCCGACGTCGCCCATCAACCGTCTTCACACCGGCACATCCCAACGGCCGCGCAGGTCCACCAATGCGTGGCTTGCGTCCCCATCACCCGTGTTTCCTGTCAGCTTTGCCTCTGCCTCGCATCCATGGAGCACTGGCGAGAGCGACCTCTACTCCAGCAATGACACCAAGCCCAAGCTTGACGCCTCGCTTCCGCCCCTTGCAGCCTCGTCGGCGCTATCTTCGCCCGCCTCGCCATCGAGTCCGAGGACGCCATTTGCGGCGTTCGGCGACCTGCCGCGTTCGTCGTCGCCATTCGCCCTCACGCTACCAAATCCTTCGCAGATTACGTCCAACGCGCGATCCAGTGAAGCAGGCACAAGGAGGAAGCGCATTACCAGCCGAGCAAAGTCCGACGCCGCAGTACCGAGCACCCGCTGCCCGACTTGCTTCACAAAGTTTGCCTCGCTCGACAAGACGCTCGAGCACATGGACAACTCCGACTGCGGCGCCATCGAGTTCGAGAGCGGCATCATGTAGGGCGCACGCCATTGCAGCAATTGCCAAGCAGACACGAGTATCTCTCGGTTTGCCCGTTTAGGCCTGTCAGCCTTGTTTGAGGACGATGAGAACAAGACACGGAGCCACAAACAGGCCCCATGTTCTGGATCAACCCTGTGATCTCGGATATGTGCGGAAGATAATACATCATGACGTTCATGCCCGTCGAAGGGGTCAAGACTTGGAGCCATTGCTACGTCTAATTACATGTAGCGCCTGACAGCTTCAAGACGTCGTCGACACTTCCATCGATGCTACGGCATTGCGAAGCGGGCATTGAGGCAATCAAAACTGCCGGCTTTGTATGTGCGCTGTAGGTGCTCTGAGTCAGGCACTGGGTTCGAG